CTTTCAAATATGATTAAACATCATTACATAGGGGACCAGATGCAGTGGCTCAGTGCTTTGGGAGGCCAAGGCAGGAGGATCACTTGAGGCTGGGAGTTTGAGACTAGCCTGGGCAACACAGTGTGAAGTCTTCTACAAAAATATTTTTTTTTTGGATGGAGTTTCGCTCTTGTCGCCCAGGCTGGAGTGCAGTGGCACGATCTTGGCCCACTGCAACCTCCACCTCCCGGGTTCAAGTGATTCGCCTGCCTCAGCCTCCCGAGTAGCTGGGATTACAGGCGCCCACCATGCCTGGCTAATTTTTTATATTTTTTAGTAGACAGGGTTTTGCCACGTTGGGCAGGCTGCTCTCGAACTCCTGACCTCAGGTGATCTGTCCACCTTAGTCTTCCAAAGTGCTGGGATTATAGGTATGAGCCATCATGCCTGGCCTACAGATTTTTTTTTTGAGTCAGAGTCTCGCTCTGTTGCCCAGCCTGGAGTGCAGTGGCGCATCTCGACTCACTGCAAGCTCCACCTCCTGGGTCCATGCCATTCTCCTGCCTCAGCCTCCCAAGTAGCTAGGACTACAGGCACCTGCCACCATGCTCGGCTAGCTTCTTTTTGTATTTTTGGTAGAGACGGTGTTTCATCGTGTTAGCCAGGATGGTCTTGATCTCCTGACCTTGTGATCCGCCCGCCTCGGCCTCCCAAAGTGCCGAGATTACAGGCGTGAGCCACTGCGCCCAGCCCAAAATTTTTAAAAAAAAATTAGCAGGGCGTAGTGGTGCGTGCACACCTGAGGTTGGGAGGCTGAGGCGGAAGGGTAACTTGAACCTAGGAGTTTGAGGCTGCAGTGAGTTGAGATCATGGCACTGCACTCCAGCCTGGGTGACAGAGGGGCCCTAAATCCAATCGTGAATGTCCTATTAGGAGAGAGGCAGAAGCCAGGCACAGTGGCTCACACTTGTAATCCCAGCAGTTTGAAAGGCCAAGGCAGGAGGATTGCTTGAACCTGGCAGGTCAAGGCTGCAGTGAGCTGTGATCTGGCCACTGCACTCCAGCCTGGGTGACAATGAGACTGTGTCTTTTAAAAAAAAAAAAAAAAAAAAAAAAAAAAGGAGATGTGGTACACAGAGGAGAAGGCCATGTGACCACGGAGGCAGAGACTGGAATCTGCCTATTCCCAAGTCAAAGAATGTTAACAGCCACCAAAAACTGTCAGAAGCAAAGAACAGGTTTTCCACTAGACAGTCAAGCCCGATGATGTCGTGATTTTGAATTTCCCAGAATTTGAGATAATAAATTTGTTGTTTTAAGCCACCAGGGTTGTGGTGACTTGTTATGGCAGCCACAGGAAAATATTACAAGCAGGTATGATGCAAGTCCCTTTGTCATATCATGGTTGAATTATAAGCACAGGCAGACTACAAATACAGTAATTCAGCAAAAAACCTAAAACAGCTTTCTGTGAGAAAAGATTGGTTATATGGAATTTATAAGGGAGTTTGAGACCAGCCTGACCAACATGGAGAAACCCCATCTCTACTAAAAATACAAAATTAGCTGGGTGTGGTGGCACATGCCTATAATCCCAGCTACTAGGGAGGCTGAGGCAGAATTGCTTGAACCTGGGAGGGGGAGGTTGCGGTGAGCCGAGATTGTGCCATTGACTCCAGCCTGGGCAACAAGAGTGAAACTCCATCTCCAAAAAAAAAAAAAAAAAAGAATATGTATGTTTTAATAATTAATATGCTGGCCAGGCACAGTGGCTCACGCCTGTAATCCCAGCACTTTGGGAGGTCGAGGCGGGAGGATCAGGAGGTCAAGACTAGCCTGGCCAACATAGTGAAACCCCATTTCTACTAAAACTACAACAAATTAGCTGGGCGTGGTGGCAGATGCCTGTAATCCCAGCTATTCGGGAGGCTGAGACAGGAGAATCGCTTGAACCTGGGAGGCAGAGGTTGCAGTGAGTGGAGATCACTCCACTGCACTCCAGCCTGGGTGACAATGCAAGACTCTGTCTCAAAAATAATAATTTATATGCTATACTTCACATCAGTAAAATTTACAACTTTATGCATATATGACATCATATACTAGGTCTGTCTTGCAATCTCAGCTCACTGCTACCTCCACCTCATAGGTTGAAGTGATTCTCCCACCTCAGCCTCCCGAGTTATCTGGGACTATAGGTACACATTGTCATGCCCGGCTAATTTTTGTATTTTTAGTAGAGATGTTCACCATGTTAGCCAGGCTGGTCTCAAACTCCTGACCTGAAGTGATCCACCTGCCTTGGCCTCCCAAAAAGCTGGGATTACAGGCATGAGCCACCACACCTAGCCAGACACTATTTTTTGAATGCATGAACATGACCTTGGGCCAGTCAACTTCTCTGGGCCTCAGTTTCCCCTTCTACACAAAAGGGTTGGAGGAATGGAATGGGGTCCTAGTGGGGCAAGGGATGGCACAAGCTGTTAGAGCATCTACTGTGTACAAGACTGGGGCTGGGGACAGGGGTTGATGGGACTCTGAACCTGGCCTGAGGCCCTAGGAGATGGCTGGGAACAGGCAGATCCAGAGACAGATGTGGAGTTTATGGACTACTCAGAGGATTATGTTACAGAGATAGGGTGCTACTGTACAGGTACAGAGACAACAGGAACTGCTAGGGCCAAAGCCCCCTCCTCTAGCCCTCCTAGCTCTCCATACTACAGGGTGAAGGGCCTTTCTTCACCCAGGGGTTAGGAAAAGGCTGAATCTTTTTTCTTTTTTTGAGTCAGGGTCCCCCAGGCTGGAGTGCAGTGGCGCGATCTCGGCTCACCACAGCCTTGACCTCCTGGGCTCAAGTGATCCTCCCATCTCAGCTTCCCAAGTAGCTGAGACTACAGGTGCATACAACCACACCTGGCTAATTTTTGTAGAGACAGGGTTTTGCCATGTTACCCAGGCTGGTCTCAAACTCCTGGGCTCAAGCAATCTGTTCACATCTTGGCCTCCCAAAATGCTGGGACTACAGGTGTGAGCCACTGTTCCTGGCTGAGTCTGACTTTTTTTTTTTTTTTTTT